CAGTCACCTAGCTTACATTTACACTTTAGCCTACAGAGCTGCTTTTCTTTACCTGCAGGAGCTGTGTTTGTGTCTGAAGCAGTTTAACTGGACATAAAGAGAAATCTGATATGAAACGACTGCCTAAGGTCCAACTGAGAGTGAATAGAAATACACATTGTAGATAGATTACAAAGTGAGCAAATAGGCATATTTCTATCTCGCAGATGTGACATAAAGCAATCAATAGAATAGCCCCTAGTCACAAATTGGTCTCATAGAGCGTCACAAGGTTAAGAGTCCTCTTTATTGTCACACACACAGCATTCAACATGCAAACATGGGGAAATTTGACCTCTGTATTTAACCCTCCCGTGTGAACACATGGAACACACGGCAGCCATGAAGGCACACGGGGAGCACTTAGGGGGTTTGGTGCCTTGCTCAAGGGCACCTCGGCAGTGCCCAGGAGGTGAACTGGCACCTCTCCAACTTCTGTCCATGCTGAACCGGCCACCCTCTGGTTCCCAAGCCAAGTCTCTATGGACTGAGCTTCTGCAGAGCCACATGTGAGGGATTCCTCTTCCAGGACAGACAGAAGTGCAAGAGATGTCACGTGTAACTGAGAACATCAGCAAAATAACAGCATTTACAAAATTGATTAGAAGAAACAGTTTGTAACATAACGGAGAAAAGTCAATGTTTAAAGTATTTATACATGAGAAAATGTCTGACAGAGATAAAGGGAGCAGCAATGACAAATGAACGTTTAAACGACTAAATGTCAACAGCAGCTCTGTCAGATGTTAAGTAAGATGCCACTTGATATCTTGTCCCCGTTAGGCCCCATTGTAGAAAACCTGCTCCTGTCTCCTGTGATCGATGGCGACTTCCTGCCTGATGCGCCTCACAACCTGTTCCACAATGCCGCTGACATTGACTACATCGCTGGAATCAACGACATGGATGGACACCTCTTCACGAGTTTAGATGTTCCTTCAATCAACTTACCCCTGGTGGGCACTTCTGTGTGAGTTCAAGTCATGTGATCAGTGCGAAACATCAACTAGCATCACATGGCAGTGTTTTTATCAGACCTAACTTTCAAACATTCACATGTGCAGTGACGTTGTGAAGAGGCTTCTGGCTTCATACACCAAGGATAAGGGCCAGGCTGGTTCGGACATCGCCTTCTCCACGTACAACTCAACCTGGGGATCAAATCCCAGCAGGGAAACCATCAAGAGAACTGTGGTGGAGATTGGAACAGACTACATTTTCCTGGTTCCTACACAGGCTGCTCTCTACCTTCATGCTGCCAATGCCACGTGAGAAAAGGATCTTTCATTAGCTTTATCACTGTCGTTAACATTGTTTCACCATTTTTTTCAACGCCATGGTGGCAAAGGTAGGAGGATGAGGCTTGTACAACTATATGTCTGTCATTTCTACCAGAACCGTGCATCGGCCCACAATTCTGGACTTTCTCTATTGTCTGAAACTATCTTGATTTAATAAGAATCCAGCTTTTAAAAAGCATCTTTTTTCTTTCTTTTAAAGAACTGGCCGTACCTACTCGTACTTATTCTCCCAGCCCAACCGTATGGGCGGCATTGGCAGACCCTACCCCAGCTGGATGGGAGCTGACCATGCTGATGACCTGCAGTACATGTTTGGAAAGCCTTTCACCACGCCACTGGCATACTGGCCTCGCCACCGTGACGTCTCCGGCTACATGATTGCCTACTGGACCAACTTCGCAAGAACTGGGTATAATTCTGCACACGCAATACACAGCAGAATCACAGAAACTGAAGATTCAAGCACTCAAGCACCACCTCTTCACTAAAGCCTTTGGCCTCAGTTAATGCTCCACCCTGCTGCTAAATTTGATCTTGTTTACTTTTTTCTTTTCTCCTCTGTCTTGTCCTCACAAACCTATGTAAAGTGTCCTTGGGTCCTGTGAAAGGCGCTATATAAATTCAAGCCATTATTATTATTATTAAGATAAATCAGTGACTGAAATAGAAAAACACAACTGCCTCAATTCAGTTGCTCTGTTCTTTTTGCTTCCACAGAGATCCCAACAAAGGAGAGCTAAGTGTGCCCGTCACCTGGCCCGAATTCACCATCACTGGACACAAGTTCCTGGATATCAATTCCAACATGAAGAATGACTCTGTGGGACAGAAGATGAGAGCGCGTCATGTTCATTTCTGGACCAGCATCCTGCCCAGCCTTCCCTAACCATCTAAGAATGAATAGCTTGTGCAACAGCTGTGCACCTTTAGTGTAGAACCCATATATGTAAGGAATCACATCAGCAATAAATAAATTTGTACAAATTATGTCTTGTTTTGTTTTATCCAATAATTTATTGTGCCTCAATGAAATGCTCAAAAAACTCACTTTGCATGTTTCCATTTGAAGTTTGTGTTTGTTTTAACTCAGCATCGATAACAGACAGGACTCTATGATATTATAATGTTTTAGTGTTGACTTTATTTAATGTGCAGAACATTATCGTTGGTGCCCAAGTGTGGGTTAACCTCGTAATTTAAAATGAAAAACAAAACAAGAGTCTAAAGAAATAATCTTTGCTGGATTGTTCAACATAAAGCAAAGGAACTGAAAGGGGTCTAACTGAAAGAGTCCTTCTTGGTGTCACGTCTGGTGCAGGCTCTGCTCTAAGGTTGCCCCATGGGTGACCCTGCAGTGGAGGTCTGTAATGCAATTCAGTTAGTGAATGTACACAATCATGCATCATGGTGCCATAATATCCTTAACTAAGGCTCAATAATCCCCTTGAATTCAATCAAGCTGCACAAACTCATAGACATTAGCCCTTTAAATATATAAATATCAATATTCATGATATTGATTCATGATTCATGACAAGATTCATGATATAATAAAGTACTTCTGATTCTGATTTCCTCTGGAGATCTATGTCAAAACTCAATGTTAAACCAATGTCAGCAAAACGGAAGAAAAAAAAACCTTCCTATAAATCTGCACTTTTGTGCAAACTGGAAGTTATTGTGTTATCTAGCTAACAATCAAACAAGCTAACCAATATGGTGGTGATAATTCAGAATAGACCAGAGTCCATAATTTTAAATTGTATTATTTTATTATTTATTTCAAACGAGCCTATCAGAGATAATTATCATCACTTGCGGAGAGGCTGCGTTAATTAAACACAAAGTCATCAATGTAAATTGAAGCTTATCTTCCTCAGATGATGTTGGAAAGCTGCTTGTCAGCTCTGTCAGCTAAGGGTAGTCAGCTAACACAGCTAGCATTGGCCTACAAGTTCAAAAAGCACTTTCCTTCACAGTTCTCCTGGAATACTTTGCACATTGTGGAGATGGAGTGTGTGGATCTGTCATGGCAGGAAGGATTGAAAAGGATTTGGCTCTGGTCAAAAATATTGAAACACAAATACATTTTTCAGCCAACTGCAGCACCGTTGTGTGTGTTATTTTGGAAGTTTTTATCTAATCTCAAAATACGTTTTTTTTCAACAATCTGAGAAACACTCCACCTGCTTCTGTAAATCAACAACTCTTCAACTTTTGTACCAGTTTTGCAAAAACCAGTGAGCTTCCTCTCTTCCATGTGCTCAAGTTTTTTCAATATATGTACATCTACAATGTATATGCTCTTTGTGTGCATGCCATATTTTAATAATTGTATTTCAGTCATTCAAGAAAGTGTGACAGTGAACTTGAAAAAAGCTAAATATTGTCCCCTCCTAATTAAATACTAGCAACTCTATTTACATTTTGCATAAAGTGAGTGTCTGTGCATCATTTTTAAACTTTCCAAAACAATTAAACTTGTATGGCCGTTCAATAAATAATTGACAAAACACCATAATGCACCCCCCAAATCCATGTGAATAGACAATAAATTCTATCAGTTCATATGAGTTTTGTGAAACGTACAACATGAAAACACTGGAAGGGTTTTATAACTTGATTCTCTTGTCGTTTTGCACAGTTTTTACTATGCTGCTTCCCACCAGAGGTCAGAGGTTGCATAACATGGGTATCTGTATTCATAAGTAAACCTCTTGTAATGGGGGGGTGGGGTGTCTATGTGTATATAAGCACGTGGAGAGGCATCTGCTGGTTTCTGGACAGCCATGGAGAAAGTGAAGATTCTGTTGGCAGTTGTTCTGTCCCTGGGAACGGCCTCTGCAGCCTCTGTAAGTCAAATCATGATCAGAATCTGCAAAAATGTGAAATTCACCAGGAGTGCAAACAGTCCTGACACTTTATGTTGTTTGTTATACCATCAGTGAATGTGAATGCTTTTCTTTTTACTGTGTCTGCAGCTGGGGGTCGTGCAGACAGAGGGTGGCAGCGTTCAGGGAAAAAATATTCCCCTCCGTCTTTTCCGCTCTGTTGACGTTTTCAAGGGAATTCCCTTTGCTGCCAAACCTGGAACCTTTGAGAAGCCCAACCCTCACCCAGGCTGGGACGGTGTGTTCAAACCTGATCCGAACAGCACAGAGCAGCACACACCAGTTTTTGATGTAGAAGCGAATACATTTTACTTTATGCTGTAAAAATCACCCTTTTAACACTGAGAAGGAGCAATGACAATGCTTTTCCTCCATAGGTGTTCTGAAGGCAACTAAGTTTGCCGACAGATGTCTCCAGATCAGCATGCTCCAGACTTCGAGTTTCGGTAGTGAGGACTGTCTGTACCTCAACATCTGGGTTCCTCATGGCAGACAGGGTACCTTCTTTATGTTTCACCACATCAACACTAAAAACACTGATACAGTAGAAGAGTTTCTAATTGCTTCTTGTTCTCCTGCAGTGTCATCCAACCTCCCAGTGATGATTTGGTTTTATGGAGGTGGCTTCATGGTCGGTGGCTCAATGGGGCCTAACTTTCTGAACAATTATCTGTACAGTGGTCAGGAAATTGCAGACAAGGGGGATGTTATCGTGGTGTCGGTGGGATACCGTGTGGGAACTTTGGGCTTCCTCAGCACAGGCGACTCCAATCTACCTGGTGAGCACGATTAACAAGGAGTGATTGAAACAAAATACATTGTGTTGGAGAATTAATATTAGTTTGATTTCTCACCATGACAGGGAACTACGGTCTGTGGGACCAGCACGCCGCCATCGCCTGGGTGCACAGGAACATCCGCTCATTTGGAGGAGACCCCGACAACGTCACCATCTTCGGAGAGTCAGCAGGTGGCGCCAGTGTTAACTTCCAGGTGAGAGGCTTTGGAGAAAAAATCTTTCTCATCCAGAAAACATTTGCAACATTTTCTTGTCAGTTCATAAATCACTTCAGGATATGTGACCATAAAGAAGCACCCTATTCATCACCCTGAATAAAAGTATGTATTAATATTTAAGTAACCTTTAACCGACCATATCTGTACAGCTGCCATTTTGATGTCAAGGTTGAAGCTCATCACAGAATCATGTTGAAATCCAGGTTTATAAGTTATAAACACAGAATCTGAATCTGATGTGTTTTCATTTCACTGATTCTGAACTGATCAGCAAAAATGGATACTTGATATGTTAATAAAATGTACACATTAATACAAATCTGTATGTAAACTGGATGTGGATGTGGATGTGTCTTCATTCTTTTCCATCATATGTGACCAGTTGATGGCCCTAAACAACTATTTCATGTATTTTTTTTTCTGATGAGCAAGACAAGTCGTCAATGAACAAAACTACAAAAAGTAATTTTGATGCTGTTTGCATGTGTTCCTACACAGATGCTCTCCCCCCACAACAAAGGGCTGTTCAACAGAGCCATCTCCCAGAGTGGTGTTGCCCTCTGCCCCTGGGCTCTCAACAGGAACCCACGAAAGATCACAGAGGAGGTACGTCACCATCAGATCATCATGGAGGACATCATTGGTTTTTGGATTGCAGCGATACAAACATTACGTTTTAGAGTCCTGAGTTTTAATAAAAATGAAGAACGCATCTTACTAGTCACCTTGCAACATGGCTTGATTACATGTATGTGCTCAGGTTGCTGTGAAGGTCGGCTGCCCCACTGACGACAGGATGGTGGAGTGTCTGAAATCAACTGATGCTGCGACTCTCTGCATGGCTTCTCCTCTCATCCAACCGGGCTCCCCAGACCGTGAGCGTCATTCCTCCACATCCACAAATCCTGTTTCAAACAGGAGGCAGTGAAATTATGAGCCCAGGAAAGAGTCACATACACAGAGTGATCTTTTTCTTTTTACCTCCATCAAAGAGACTTCTTACACAAAACAACTGAAGAGATATTCTCAGAACTTGAAGGAGGGATGCGGTACGGGTCAGGAAATAACTATAGATCCACAAAAAACATTTAGGACATTGATTAACATTTTGCACTGTTTTCCCAGAGAATAATTTAGAGACATTGATCCAACTACAAACTAATTTCTTTCAGCTGTAATCATTAAGTGGTTTCTTAAAATAAATGTCTGTTGATGTCTGCCCAGGCCCAACAGTCCTCCCATATCAAATCAAATCAAGCAGGACCAAATTTTCACACATTCATAGAAATAAATCTCTTAAAAGTTCCGCCTGTGCCTTTTTAAAATGAGCGCTGCCAAAAAAACAAGAGAAACCAATAAAAACACACACGTTAGATGCCACTTCATGATTAGATATCTGTTTCAATCCTTCTCAGATCCTGGTGTGGAGAACCTGCTTCTGTCTCCTGTCGTCGATGGCGACTTCCTCCCTGATCAGCCCAGCAACCTGTTCCAGAACGCAGCCGACATAGACTACCTTGCGGGGGTCAATAACATGGACGGTCACCTCTTCACCTCAAATGATATTCCCTCCCTTGGCAACAAGAATCAAGACACTCCAGTGTGAGGCAAATTTGTCCTCATTTTTTTTCAGGCGCTCCTATCGCGGTAAAATTTAAATCATGACAGGTCGGAGCCTCCACAGTCCTTTGACTAACTGAGCCCACGGTTATTTTCTCTGCAGAGAAGACGTAAGGCGTCTCCTTGCTGCTTATACCAAAGAGAAGGGGCAAGCTGGTTTGGACGTTGCCTTCAGTGAATATTCCTCCAACTGGGGGTCAGACCCCAGCCAGGAGACCATCAAGAGAACTGCAGTGGACATTGGGACTGATTACATCTTCCTCGTTGCCATTCAGACCGCCATTTACCTGCATGTTGCTAACGCCAGGTGAAAACCAAGGGTTACAGTCCTGCTTAATATAACATGACAAAATAATTAGTTTATGTTGTGTTTTCTTTTGTGACTGGCATCTTCAGATTGATGATGATGACGAAACATGTTGTGATGGTGTTTGACAGGTCTGGCCGCACCTTCTCCTACCTGCTCTCTGAGCCCAGTTTGATGGCCGGGCCAGGCAAACCCTACAATGACTGGGTGGGAGCCGACCACGCTGACGACTTGCAGTTCGTGTTTGGCAAACCCTTCACCACGCCGAGCGCTTACGGAGACCGACACAGAGACGTGTCTGGCTACATGATCGCATACTGGACTAACTTTGCCAGAACTGGGTAAAAAAACACGGGACATGCTTGTGCAGAAACTCTAATAACTTAGGGACGGTTTTACAAAACTTCACATCAAAAACTTTTAATATTGTTTTTACAGAAACCCCAACAAAGGAAACCTGGTGGTGCCTGTGATCTGGCCTGAATGTACCAGTAATGGATACCAGTTCCTGGACATCAATTCTAAAATGAACGAGAGCTCCACTGGACAGGAAATGAGGTCACGCTTTGTGCGCCTGTGGCTCAGCACCCTTCCCGGCCTTCCATCTTATCATCACACAGATGCTCTGTGATGCATTTCTAGCTCAATTAAGACAATTGTACTAATAACAGAGTCCTTACAATAAATTTTATGTGAGGAAAAACATGTTCCGTGGCTTTTGATGTAGTTAGCCCAGACTAAAGTGGAAGCCGTAAACACCATCAGGAGAAAATACAGTACTATGTAAACCATATAACTTGTTTTTATGTTAATATAATAAATGAAAACAAGGCCAGAAAATGTTATATAAAACGTTTGCAGTGTTATTCCTGTTTGTAAGTCTCATTTTCATGTTGCAGATAATTGAATACACAGTTGTGACCACTGTGAATCTAATGTTTCTCCATGCATAATTATATATGATATGAAAAACATTATTTCTTTATAAATATGTACATTAAACACGTACAAAATTTGCAACGCATTAATCACAAAGACCAGTAGAGGGAGCATTCAGAATATGAATCTGTTCCACTCAGGCCACAGTTGTGTCTGTATGTTCTAAATCTTCACAGTGCAGAACAACTATGATGCACAGTTATTAGTTATTATTATTATTATTATTATTAGACAACTATTATTAGAATTAATCAAGTTCCTTTTCTATTTTAACCATTTTTTTCTTGTTGTGCATCACTTTGTACTTTGTATTAAAAAGTACTCTATAAATAAATGTATTATTATCATTATCATTAATGCACTGTATGGACAAAAGTATAGGGACAGCCCAGTTCCAGGTCTTTGTGTCGCAGATTTGTCTATATCAGTCTTCATAGTGCAGGTCAGGACTATAATGAAAAGTACATAAATCATAAATACATCTACTACAGTTATTATTAATGCAATGATATTTCAGAGGGTTGTTGTTTGTGACAGCAGTTTGATTGAAGGCGCGTCACAGTGTGAACTTGACACCATCACACACACCCACATCTTTACAGACAAATATTCACAGTTTGATGTGGAAGAACCAAACTACAGGAGCATCAAACCTGCAGCTGGAGGTTTAAAATAACATTTGTCAGTCACTTGAGCTGGAGGCCTCATGTGGACCATATTTTAAACTATGAATCACTGTATGAATTTCATAACTTTGCCTTAGGGAATAGCTTGCTGTCAGATAATGGGCGTAGCTTGAATAAATGTCATGTCTCCAGGAAACTTCATAACCAAACTCATCCTCTGACCCTGCACCAGTGAGCAGACCTTGAAGGAGCCTCCTGTTGGACTCTTCTCCGGGGACCTCATGTGGCGGCTCGATGCTCAGGCCCGGACTGCGGTCCTCTGCATCATCGCCGGGTTCTTCATCTACACCGTGTGGCGGCTCTACCGGCTGCTCTTCTGCCCCCTGGTGCGGCTCAAGACCCTGGAAGATGTGGGATACTTCGCCGAGGACGGACGCTCCAAAGCCCGGGCGGCGAACGAGGTGCGCCGCAGGAGGAAGATCGGTGACCTGCCTCCGGTTTATCCGAACGGATGGTACCGAGTCCTGGACACATCCATGCTGAAGAGGGGCCAGGTCAAAAATGTCACGGTTCTAGGTATGAAAATAATATATAATAAATACAACAGTTAATTAAAGAATGTTAAACTGTGCTCAAGTTACAAACTTTTCTCAGCAGATGTGCAAACATACACTGGGTCACTTACTGTATTCAGTATCAGTTACTGACTCTATTCATTAATCAGTACTTTTATCACTTACTATCAGTTACTGACTGTATTTAGATACTGACTCAATTACTGAATACAGTCAGTTACTATCTGAGAGTATTCAGTAGCTGCAGTAACTGCATGGGTCAGTATGCAGTAATTGAGTCTATTCAGTAACTGAGATGAATCGTGTAACTTTATTAAGTACTAGTATGCAGTAACTTTATACAGTAACTTGGAGTAACTGGGCCAGGAACTCTATTCAGTTACTGAGAGTATTCAGTATGCAGTAACTGAGTTTATTGAGTAACTAGCTGTATTCAGAGTAACTTAGAGTATTGAGTAACTGAGAGTATTCAGTATCTAGCCCAAATGTTAAATCATTGCAGACTTTGCAGTTGGAGACTGGATTAAAATAGACTGCAAATATTTTGCCTTTTTTTTTCGTGTCAAAGATGGACACAAAAACACAAAAACACAAAATCTCCCTGGTGTTCAATCACACCTCCTACAATATAGAGACACAAGTAATCGATTTCTTTATTGACACACAACCATTAAACAACTTTTCCTGGGAATTCATGGGTTCTCTACTTTTTCAGTTTCATGCTATGTTAAATGTTTGAGTTCCCCTGGTCTCTATTGTCTCATAGTTTCCAGGAAAGATGAGACCAGTTCAGTTGACAAAGTAGTTGCAACACATGGCAAACACAACAGAACAAAGCCTCATTCTAAGAGCTCATAAACACTCACGACTGCCATTGTCGTTTAACCTGAAGGTGTCATGGAGGCGAATGTTGTGGTTACTGATAAAAACTCAGTGGCGGATATAGAATTTCACTAAATGGAGGGGGGTCATAAAGGGGCCACAATTGACACACAGGGGCCAATCATATGTCCAACACGATCCATGATCGAGTGTTGAGGACATTTTACCACAAACTCTACATTTTGCCACAAGCTCTTCAGACTCAATATTTATGAGCCGTGTGATGCAGTGTGACGCTCTCTGCACCACTGTCACCCGACCCGCACTAATCTGGGAGCCCTCCTCGCACTGTGGGTCAGCTAAATGTCAAGCAAAGACAGTGGGTACAGAAAGTGAACACCTCCAGATGTGATCTTCAGGTTCGATTTCCACACTCACCACGCACACTGGTCTGAGATCTACTGTAGATGTAATCGATCCCCGGAGTGACTTTAAATATGTGCTGCTTATTCTGGAACGTCTACAGACAGAAGGATACGGGTGTTAAAGTAGACGATTTCTGAGTAAACCCACTATAAATAGAATTTAAAGATGTCTGACATTTTGGCTCATATTTATTTAGCCTATGCATTACAGTAAACATGTTCCACCACGTACTTTTTTCCCTACTTGACTTTCCTTTCCTCCCTTTTGTTCTTGCCTTTTTCTTTTTTTCCTTTTTTGTCCAATAATAAATAAATCCCAAACAGAGCACTGCTGTCCTGCTCCAAGTAACTGGAATATGTTGCACAGATTCCTGCAGAATTAGGTTAACAACCTGACGTTGTTGTAATGATGTCTCGTAGGTGAGCAGGTGGCAGTGTTTCGGGGCGAGGACGGGAAGGCCTACGTGTTGGATGCCTACTGCCCTCACCTGGGGGCCAACCTGGCTGTGGGAGGACAGGTGGTGGGAAACTGCATAAAGTGCCCATTTCACGGGTGGCAGTTTGCTGGGAATGATGGGAAGTGTGTGAAGATCCCCTACGCAGAGAAAGGTACGAACCGAACCGACAAATCTCTCACACATTCACTATTTGAAAAACATGTAAAGCATGAACAAAAGAAAAAATTGAGGTGGAACATGAAGATTAATGGATTGGCCTTTCAGAGACATGTATGCCGATATGAAATCTTTTATTTTACAGAATAACAATGCAGAGGATTTGTGTATTTAGGTTAATATTTTCTGTAAAAACATGTAATTGTTTTTAGTTGTTTATCATAATTATAATGATTTAAATGTAAAATATCAAGCTTCAGTTACATTGGTGGAAAATTGTTCATCTTCTGGGTAGCATGAATAGACTCAGTAAGATAATTGAGTGATGATTAAATATTACAGCATCACTGACTGTAGAGACGGTGAATCATCTTCAGGTTTCATTTGTCTTTCAGTGCCAAATTTTGCGAAGGTGCGCAGCTGGCCAAGCTGTGAGGTCAACGGCCACATCATGGTTTGGTTTCACTGTGACGGAGAGGACCCTGAGTGGACTGTCCCGGAGAAGAAAGAGATCACAAAGGGAGAATGGGTCTACCGGGGTCGAACCGAACACTTTATCAACGCTCACATACAGGTAGGTGGATGCGCAAGTTTGTTAAGAAGGTAAAACATTTTTCTTTTAGTCCTGTTAGGAAGTGTAGGTTACATGCGGGAGCCAGATTCCAATCAAGGAATTTCATATTTGGATCTGTTGTTGGAACCATGGCAGTTTTAGCAACGTGTTGAGAAATATGAACATACATGAGTGTGGTAAGCAATATCTAAAATGAGATTTGTTCAGTTCATAGTCTGGTCCGTATCCCAACCATTAACATGAAGGAGGCAGTTTTATGAGCTAAATTGCAGCCAGCCACCAAGTGGCGATAGAGATGCTTTGGCTTCACTTTTAGGGAGCTGCCATCTTTACATACAGTCAACGGTTTTGATGCTTGTCTTTCAATCCAGTCACGGTGGTGTCTCATGCTGTCTTCTCCTCACAACAGGAGATTCCTGAAAACGCAGGAGACTTTGCTCACCTCAATTACCTGCACACTCCGGGCATCATCAGCGGCAACGATCTGCGCCACACCAACAGCCAAATCTTTAAATTTCTCCAACATGAGTGGAAGGTAAGACTCTTGATCTTTGATTTATTCTGAGAGGATGAAGTAATTACCTCAATGAGGTAATGTTTTCACCCCTGCAGCATTATGCAAAAACGACAGAACAGATGTCCACAAAACTTGGTGTGTGTGTGTGTGTGTTTTCCTTTTTTCCAGGCTTACTGGGAACCGCAGTCAGAGCCCAACAAGCACTGTGCTAAGATGTACTTGAAACACAGTTTGATTCTGTTTGGACGCCACTGCTCTCTGGGGGATATTCATGTTGTGGCCTCACAGGTACGCTAACGTTAGTGCATGATGAACGGTGATTGACAGAAAAATAATCGAATCAATAATTAATAATTCCATTGAAAATAGAAATTAAAAGGTTATCATGGTTTGAGATTAAGAAAAAACTCAAATCTTTTGCCTTGTGAACACGATATCTTAAGAACACCTTGAGAGAATCCTTATCACTCATTTCTTCTGCTGTAGAAGAAACCACAGAATGAAATGAGCACGCGTCTGTTTGTGTTTCAGCTCGGTCCAGGACTGGTGTTACTAGATTTTGAGCAACTTTTGATTGGCCGGGGTACGATCATACAATGCGTGACACCAGTGGAGCCTCTGCTGCAACACGTCACTCACACCATCTATTACCAGTCGAATGTCTTACCTCTGATCCCCAAAATCATCCTGGCAGGAGAGAGCGTTCAGGTACTGCGCACACAAACCCGAATCACCTTTATATTGTCTTTTACTGTCTGTGATGAAGCAAAGTCTTAATATCTAAACATATCGTGTCACAATATCAATCAATTATCACAGAAGTTATACATTTTATAGTCTAGTGATCGTCTCCTGTTTTCTATTTGTTCCTAGTTTGAGCGAGATTTGATGATCTGGAACAATAAGAAGTACGTCTCCAAGCCTCTGATTGTGAAGGAAGACTCAGCCATCCAAAAGCACAGGCGCTGGTTCAGTCAGTTCTACAGCGAGGAAAGCCCGCGGCTGCAACACCAGCACGACACTCTTGATTTTTGACCTGTCTGGACTGCAGGAGAGATCATCAACCGGATGTCTCCATAGAATCCACAATTTATTTTATATGTCACGTATTTAAGGAGGAAAGGTGACCTGACTTCTTTGCCGCAGGGGTTTTGTCTTTATTTACATTTCATGAAACTGTCCTTTTTATTGTTTCTTGTGTTTTTCCAGCCTGTGTGTATTCAAGGGCCTGAAATATATTTGATTAAGTGACTGGATTGAAATTTGTAAGTTAACAATACTGAGAATGCCATAATTGCCTTGTTGTCCATAAAATGTCCAAACAAATCAAGAGCGACACACTTTCATGATTTCGTCCCTACCAAAAATGTCCTTTACCCTGGTGTGTGTGCAGAAGCCTGTCTCCCCATGAGAACATAGCTGTGTCCCCCTCTGTGGGCTGCTTAGACTTTGAATGCCAAACATATCTTTAGACATTTTAGAGGGAGTCAAACATGCTCCGAGACAGTATCCGGAAACTTTCTGGAGCCTGTCGTTTTGTATTACTTGGTATGGGGTGAAGGGATTAAACTTTTTTTTTTTTATTCTTTTGATACGTAATAATTTGCTTCCTGTCTTACTGCACAGTCATGACTTTGTGCTCCCCTCACTGCTCTAGCTGATCTGTAAGTGATTCAGATGTATTTAATTATCATATTGTACGTTTTCTTGCTTTACCGGTGCATGTGAATGAAAAGATGTTTCTTAGAATTATTTAAAATGTGCTTCAGACTCTGTATAAATTGATAAAATATGTCCTTTAAAAGAATAAAAGGGTGAACTGAGTATGGAAATCATTGACTGTTCTGTTCTGAACATTTAATTATGCTGCCTTTTCGTACGATTGTCCAGATCAGTTTTTTTCAGCATTGCGTTATGCAGTCACATTATCTGACGTGAGCAGTAATCACAAATCACAAACATTTTCTGCTGCGTCTTGAGATGAATGACTTCATGGAGTTGAATCAAAACTGAGAGGGAAAATGTTGAATCACCTTGTTTTGAGGATGCAATACATGCAATGTGTTATCTGACTAGCAACATGAAGACACAAGTAGTGATGATGAGGTAAGAAGAACACATTTCTGCTGTGTCTCATGTTGAATTACCTCATGGACGAAGTTGACTTACAACTGAATGGGGAAATGTCGAATGACTGTGTGCTGAGCTTAAGGTTGTGTAAGAACCACAAACCAGGTTTGGTAATATGTTTGATTGCCTGTTTCTGTGGGAGGAATGATATCCTCTGCATGTCTTCTATGACAAATTGACATATAGGTCAACAATTACACACATGTTCTAGAGAAAGCTCAGTGTGTAGTTCCTGTTTTTGATACATTAACCTACAATTATTACACAATACCATTAATACTACAATAATCTGTGATGTGTCAGCTGCAGGTCAAACCTCACAGTGTGAGAAATACACGGATGCCATTTTCTTGTGACATCAGGCGTCAGGTGGGAAGCTCAAATGCTGTTATGGACAATGTGATCCAGGTGTATTAGTCGCTTTGTTTGGTTGTACAGCGCCATCCTGTGGCCAGAAGCTGCTCAACAACCGCCAGTTGAATTTAGTAAAACTGCAGATATAGTGTAAGGCCATTGCTTGATTGGTGATTAATGTCTATTTTACCAGTTGATGGTATCTGTGGTATTTGAGCCATATGAACCCCTCACTGTATAGTGTGGGTTATCAATGACAGGTGATCAATGTGTTGAGGTACTGTTGGTTGTATTATTGACTATTTTTCTCCTTTCATGTGTTTTTCTTTTGGTTTTACTTTTGATTTTCTCCATTAGTTGTGTTGCCGCTTTACAGAGCATTAATCACAAAACACCACCAGAGGGTATATTTGGAACATAAGTCTGCTCAGGCTACAGGTTTGTCAATATAATCTTTGTGTAATGCGTCTAGTATAGTCATCTCCAATTGGCTTCATTTGTCTTAAATATGACACAATTCAGAAAGTATTTTATTTACCCATTCCAGCTCTCCCTCAGACCCAAACTTCCCACTGTCCCAAATCATGTTGACCCAAATCAGGACTGCTGTGAATAAGTGCATCCATGTACATGATATATTTAATCCTGCAGAATGTGTCTATCCCCCCTGAGCTGTCTTCACACATTGCACAGTGGCTCAGCTCTGCACCACAGAAGTCTGGGAACAGCAGGGGGGGGCGTGCAGCCTCTCGCCTCATTTGAATCAGCCTAATTTGGAATTTCTCAAAATTCTATCTAGGGGTGCTGCCTCATCGGTTTACTCTTGAGTTGACCTTCCTGGCAGCCAGCCTGCTGCAATCTGAGCCCTGTAGGTCACCTAGACGTCAAGCCAAAGACAGTGGATACAGTAAGCAGATAGCTCCTGATGTAATGCCTGGGTGGGAACAAATTCAGTTTGCACACTTACCATTATACAGTTGCCAAAATATAAATCAAATGTCATTTAAAAGTCTTCTCGAGTGAGCTTCTCCTGTTTTCTCCTAGTTTGAGTGAGATTTAATGATCTGGAATAATAAGAAGTATGTCTCCAAGTCTCTTATTGTGAAACAGGACTCAGCCACTCAGAAGCACAGGCGCTGGTTCAGTCAGTTCTACAGCGAGGAAAGCCTGCGGCTGCAACACCAGAGCGACGCTTTGGACTTTTGACCTCTCTGGAGTAGAGGAGTGATCCGCAGGGGAGATGTCAGGGTTGGCATAAAAGTTAATGGATTCTTCCTCGGCCCATGTTCTATCCACACATCAAGTTCAAGTTTTTAGTTTTGCTTACAGATGATCAAATATACAAATAAACCAACAAACAGACAGGGGTGAAACCATAAAACCTCCTTGGTGGGGGAGCATAGGACGTTTGATAAATAATACTGATATTCCCCAGAACTGCCTTGTTGTGAAGCTGACGATTAGAGTTTTAAAATGTACATAATTTCATGTATACCTTTAACAAACATGTAGTTTTTCAGTTTTGAATTACTTTCACTTATTAGAAAACGATGCCATATGTTATTTCTGAGGGAATGTGAAGGAGAAGTGTCTGAAAGGCCTTCAGAGGTTGGAAAGGTTTCCAGGCAGAAAATTACAGAAACAGTATTCAACAATTCATCACTGATGAGTAGCAGTCTTCAACACCTGGAACATCAGCCAGGTTCAGTGTGTTGAGCTCTCTCGGTCGCTGTACATTATTGTGTTTATGGACTTTGAATATGAGTTTTTATGACTTTTTTCTGTTTTATTTTGGCAGTCACCACCGTCACTTCCTGTGTTTGTCTGCCGTCCTGTGACTTCCTGTTTACATTGCCCTGCCCTGCTGAGTCTCACCTGTGTCATTGTTCACCTGAGTGTCAGGTAGTGTGTGTCCGTTAGTGTGTGTGTGTGTTCTGGACACCTCTGCCTCAAACTGCTTCACCGAACCAGTAAGTCTGATTAATGACGGTATAACAGAACTATTCTCATCACGTGGAGACATTTTGTCTCCTCGTCCTTGTGTCAGTTTTGACATGTGATTTTTTTCTGTCCGTACAAAGCTGCTGTATCAGTTTCTCTCTCACTCTATCTTCATCGGCATCAGAAAGTGTAAGTGTGTAAAATCAGAACGTGCAAACAAACTGGGCTCAGCCTCAGGTTCTGTAAAATGGCAGCTGTGTTTGTTGTCTCAAGTCACAGCTGATTATGACCTTCAGTTTGTGACTATGAAGAACCACTTCACCCGTTTGTCTTGTGCGTCTCTACACAGAAAATAAACTTCTCTGAAACAGGAAACTCTTATAGTATTTTGTGCTACTGCAGTTTGTCACAGTATCAGGTGGAAGTCATTGTCTCAGGATTATAAAGTACGACAACAATCACGTTAGCTGGTGGAAAATCCCCAAATATATTTAAAATGTTTATTTTACACTTGATATTAATACTTAAAGGTAAACACATGTTGAACGATCATCTTTAAATCAAAACACCACTACAAAACGGTGTACACAATATATAGGGGACTATACCGTGATTAGTGAGTGATTTCTGATGCAGCTTTTGAAGTTTTCGGAAATGCCATAAACTTTGAGTGAACGAAAAAGTATTTGTTTCACGCTGCGGACCATGGTCCATTTCTTTACGGACAAACATTGTGGCTGTTGTGAACGCTTCTGTGCAGAGAACCTCCCGCTCTGTTGTGCATGTGTGAAATTCAAACTTCAGGTAAACTCCGAAACACAATTCTCTGGATTTTACCTGCAGGTAATGTTTGAAAATGGCTTTAGATTATCAGTTGGTCACAGAAGACAGAGAGGACACTTTCTAAAGCAATAAAATAGTATTTGTTGGACACCACAACATTTCTTATGAATAGCGCATGAACCCTGGTGCTCCTTCTCAATATTTGAAATATATTTTTTCGTAACTGGCCAATCTACAGATGTAATGTTTATTTAAATATGCAGATTTAATCCGCTGTGCTCTGATGTGTCTGCTCATGCATCTCTGATCTAGCACAAGCTTTCCATTGCACTAAATATGTTAGTGTGTTAAATTGAGCAGAGTAGTTAAATGTTCACCGTTCTACTTGGCCAGTGGCAGTTCTCTGAGGCACAGAGCATTGCTTCGTGCCCCTTATCTTTGAGTATGCTTATCTTATCTGGGTTCATGGTGGGAGAAAACTATGCTGCCTGTGTTCTGCTGAAGCATTACCTCATTCCATTTAAAGCAGATTTAAAGTATTGAGGAAAGGTGCTGATCTTGTGTTAATGTGTTGAACAGACAGGAAAAAAGAAAATCTCTGTGTATTGAAGCATGGCTGAAGGAGAAGACTTTGAAAGTTCGAAGGAAGCCATTGTTACGCAGGAAGAAAAACAGCTACCGGGTGATTTCAGAGCTCTAGACACAGCGAGGGGAGCAGAGAGGCGAGAGGATGAGAGCGACGCGGTCACACAGCCTCTGCTTCAGCACGAACACCAGGACAGCCGAGATGAGAATCTCACAGCAGACACGCAAACGGCGACAGATGTTGCTGACCCACAGACATCTGTTCCACACGAGCTGCAATTGGCGGGCGGGGATCAGAGCGGCTGCAGCGGAAGTGTCAGGAGCTTGTGCAGTGACAGCAGTCGACACGAGTGCCACATCTGCAGTGAGCAGTTTGACTCGCACACTTTGCTCAGATGTAACCACACACTGTGCCACCAATGCGTGGCTGGCATCATGAAGCGGGCCAAAGACCCGGGCAGACTGCAGTGCCCCTTCTGTCGGCAGACCACCCCGTTCCCACAGTGGGAGATCAGGAGACTTCAGGAGGAATTCTACAGCAACTGTGTCTACGAGGACACACCGGCCCTCGTCATCAGTCCTGGCCCTGAACCTCGGGTCGCTAACGCATCACCTTTATGCTGCTTCGCTCACACAGACGCGTGTGGAGGCTGTGTTTGCGCTTCCCGCCTTGTCGGTCGACTTCCCTCTCACTGCTTCTCCGTCACTGCCCTCCTGCTGCTCTTCCTGGTGCTGCTGGGCTACTTCCTGTACATGTTTCTCCCTATTTTAGCACTATCCCATTTTTTTCATGGCTAAATTTCACCTCAGTTGTTTTACCTCTGGAAAAGATTTTAGAACTTTGTGTTTTCCCCACAGAGACCAGGTTCTTCATTCAGTTTCAGGGGAAATCCTTTTACCCCCCTAACGAAGGTAGTCCTTTACAAAAGTACAGGAACCTGTGGGGTGGGGTCTGCAACGTTAAGCATGCCTGATTGGTCGAGTACTTTTGAATATGCTATGTTACTACAGCTTGTCTCCAATCAACAAATGCAGAATTTGAATCTCTGTCATGTGTACCTTTGTAGTATTACTCGATCTATATAACATAATTGTTGTTCTATAGTCCTCTGCATTAGCGCTGCCTGGTGGACTGGAGTGGAACAGCTTGTTGTCGCTAATTTGCTTAATCCCACCTGGTCTTTTGACCATGGTGGAAACGTAAGTGGTCTGAAGGAACTTTAAGTTTCTTTAAAAAAAGTTCCAGGTACTTTAAGTTGAAACCCAGAAAAAGTAAAGTGCTTTCCAGTTTTTTTTTTTAATAACCTCATTGATCATTCATTTCACGCAGCCTCGTCATTTCAGACACTGGAATGTAAGTTATCAGTTTCATAAATGCTTCTGTCAACCTCTGACTTTTGTTTTCTCTGAAGAATGTTTTGTGCCATGGTGAAACTAATGGAGGTTTGACTTTGGATCAAAAACTCTTTCTGGGTCTTGCATTGACCTACTTCTCACTAGAACAGCTTGGATGCTTTGTGCTGTTACTGCTGCGTATTCTTAGCAACAAAAACCAGCTTGATCTCCTTTCATTGTGCACATGACGAAGACTGGGCCCTACAAGTTCACCACTTATATCCATGTTGTTCTTTTAAAGACAATGAATTGAACACTAGAACGCTTCTTTCTTCGATTGTTGATGCACTTACGCCTTCATGTTTGTTATTATGTACATGTGCAATCAAATATATATATTTATACACACTGTATGTAAGTACTCATATAAGCATAATGATTATGTCTGCTGTGTAAAAATAAAATCAGGTATTCCAGGGAATTCTGGCATTCAATGATATGTATGTATACTCTGTGTATTATCAACTTAGGCACATTCCTGAATTTACTGTTACACACAGGTGTAAATATAGAAACAGTGATGAATTTTATTGCAAAATCATATTAGTGTGGATGTAGCCTATATGATGCATGTGCATGTGTGAATGCAAATATCCAACGCTCTCCAGTATCTGCATTATTCTCCACCTGGCCTCCTGGTGTAAAGTCTGTGGTGATCCAGGAGAATCCGATGTGAGAACAAACGGAAAACAAATATCTCTCTGTGAAAAAGCGCTGACACACTCGTAGAAGACACTGGCGAAGATGTCAAGAGAGTTTGTGGTGATAAGAGCAGACACCAGTGTGCTGCTGTTGTGGACGCGTCCGTGCAGGGAACCTCCCGCTGTGTTGTGTGTGTGAAAGACAAACTGTGTCTGAACTCTGCAGCCAATTCTCTGGATTTTACCCAGAGGTCGTGTCTGAAAGCAGCTTATGAGACTTCTGACAAACCCAGTAGGACCTTCCTGCCTTCAGCATCAAATGGCAGCCAGATATTTCCTTTTTTTTTAGCCTCCAGTTTTTCTTGGGAGAGAAAAACTATCTCTGAAGAATTTCTGCGTTCACAAAGTGCCTCGAAACACTGAAAATGAATAATGGATCCCGTAAAAAATCAAAACATCACAAAATGTTGTGTTTGACTTGTTCCTCGTTCACCTAGAGGCCAAAAAACATGACAAAGATTTATTTAAATAAAATTTCAATCATTGCTTCACTGGCTGTTTACTCATATTCCAAGGATGAAGTGAAGGCGACAGCCAAAACGTGGTTCTCATAAGTATAAAAAATACATTACTCACATTACTTAGAAAACTATATAAAAAATGCATGGATATCTTGCCTTGGGCAAACTGGTGTAGAGACAATAACACTTAACGCCCTCTGTTTCAACATGGTGAGCTGCGGAAGGAGAACATCATGTGAAAAGACAATTTGAAGCACTCGATGGAACACAGGCTGTACATATGTATACATACGTTGCATCTGTAGAACAGGATGGCGGGTCTTTAAATCCTGCGGAATTATGTACGACTGTTTTCCGCTCCGGAGTCCGTGGACTGTCGATGACTGAAACACAAATTTGGAATCTAGGCATCGCTCTCCAATGTGAAATGAAAAATGGATCCATATTGATCAGGCCTGCAGCCCCCCCCCCCCCCCCCCCAACACAGCTCTGCAGGATGTTGGCGAGCAGAGATGGATTCTGGGATCCTGAAGACTCGCTGTGTTCTCTGCAGCACTAGCGCTTCAGCATCGGGAAGAGCGAGCACGCGAGCACTGAGGGGGCTCACACATCCATAATTTATGCGAGGACTTAACACTACATGAGAAACACATCAGATCGGCAGGCATCCATCTGGAGATGACTCATTGAGGCAATCCATTACGCAGACCCCATCAGCTCTGTTTATGTCGAGGCACTCGGCCTGTTTGGTTCCAAGGCTTCGATCAGAAACTGGGGGCTCCATGTCACCGGCGTCCGGCGATCGAACAGCTCCACTCACCGTGCTGCTCGATCGCTGTGTTAAAGGGACCCTCACACATCACTGATGGTGCGCTTCGTCACACCATTCCACACGCACACGTTACAGAGCAGAGCAAACGTGTTCGGGAAAAACACTTGCAAAAAGCAACACAAGGAGCCGAAGACACAGTGACTGTGTCATGCTAAGCGCTAAAGCATGTAGGAGTTGAAGTACTACAGGCTCTGTGTGTGTGTTCTCTCCACTGCGTGTTTCATACACGAGTAATCCTTCAGTTACACGTCTGACTGTTTAAAACGATTCAAACATGAAGTGAAATTACTTGAAGCCATTTTGTTTCTCAGAAATAAGATGAGTCCTCTTCGAGAGGACACTGATTGAATTTTAAGGTGATGGACTCCATACGTTTTTGACATTAAAGCTTTTTACCAAATCAAATTCCCGTTTGTGTTGCCTCTGTATTTGTATGTTTACAAACGTGAAACCAAAGTGTCTCGATCGCCCCCTGGTGGCTGGTTTCAGTATGGGTAATAGACCTGGCTCCTCCATGTTAGTGGATGTGACTTGGACCAAACTAAAAAATACATGTTCCATAGATTTGTCCCAAAAATGGTTTCTGTCATCTTGTTTTGGTAAATTTGGTTTTGATTACGTAAGTTGGAAACTGACTTGATGAAATTTGAATATATTCAACCTTTGTCCTCATGTAGAAATATTCCAACCAAATGACTGAGATGTTATTAACTTGAACTACGCTGGTTTTAAAACGCACAGACACAAACTCACTTCTTGCAGAGGACTGTGTGGGTGGTGTATCAGTCTGTGTTGCTTCTGTGTGGGCGGCAACACAAAGCATGAACTCAAGATTGTGCTTGTGTGTGTGTGTGTGTGTGTGTGCTTCTGCTTGGATTAGCATGTATTAACTTAGGTTTAAAAGCCGATGATGATTTGTGTGTGATCTCCTGCATGTGCTTATTTGTGTGCGTCAGCCTTTACAGGACTCTGTGTTGTGCTGCCACAGCTGCAAACGTATGATATAATGGCTGCAGAGCCGATTGGTCCGGCTTTATTGATGTGTGAGTAGTCGATGAGTGGGCAGGAAGAGGAAGGCTTCATAACCTCGTTTAATAAGAGGCCTTCACACGGTCAGAGCCGACGATAAGTGGAGAGTTTTATACAAACTGGCTGTGGCAGTCACACCGATGCTGGAGGAGGGGGTTTCATCATTAAGTGCTCTGTTCAACACCGGTATTTGTTTCCGTCAGTGGATTGGTGGTGACAGGGACTTGTCTCGTTTGTGTAGGGTTTTGGAGGCAGCGTGTTTTTGTGATTCCTGAATGAAAAGACCTTTTTAATAATGGATGTGTCCGGACTGTGCTTCAGAGAGACGCTGTGTGCCGAGATCAATGGAGCCAACCACGTCTGACCAGTCACACAAACAACCCACAGCTTCCAAATCTCACCAATTCTGTCTTCTTGAAAAGTATAAAGACTCTTAAAATGATTTTCTTTCAAACTATAACATCGGCATGTTGTCCTCTATTGTTCTCCACATGGACTGTTGATCTGCAGGCAACAAAAACCTGCTGATGGGTCAAACTAGAAACAGAAAACTGAGGGTTTCGTGTCCATCTCTTAGAAATGATTTACATTTACATGGAATGAATCAGTAAGTGGACTGTTTTTAAAAGCTTTAAATATCTTTTCACTGTGGACTCAGGATCCACAAACGAAGTCACGTGAGCTGAACTAACCTGAAAGCGGAAATAATGATAATTTAGATGGAACAGTGATGCTGTTTTTCTCCCGCTTCCTCGAATAGCCCAAAGACAAACAGATTGAAGTGGAGGCTCAAACTTGATTGTAGGTGTGAACGGTTGTTTGACGGATCGGTGGTCTGTCCAACGTGAACTTCACCTCTCCCCCCAATGTCAGCAGGGACCAGCTCAACCTCAACCCTCAAAAAGAAATGATTGATCCAGCTCAGCCTCCTTTTAACAGTTAACATACATTCTGCTTGTCTCACGTTACGTAAAGAAAACTAATCATATTTGAGACGGACTCACTGTGGGAGCACACAGCCGGCAGCTGATGGATGTTGATTTCTTTCAGCCTTGTGATTAATTCATCAGCTCCCTGCAACACGGAGACACACCGCTGTGCTGTGTGATTTATAATTCAGAGCATCGTTCAATGATTTCACTCTGGCCTCTTTTTCAAATCACCTTCTGTTTTCTTGTCCTCAAATGCAGGAAATCATTCATGTTAATACTTGTGACAAATGCACAACACCCCCCCCCCCCCCTCTCAGTGGAATGACTGACTGTTATAATAAATGACATTAAAATGATTGATTCACTCACATTGTGTTTTGTCCTGGAGGCAGGTTTGTT